GTTTTTCTCTGGTACCGGGAACCGAACTCACGACCTTGCGCTTGCCAGGCAGGCGCTTTGCCGCTGAGCTAAATCCCCAGCCCCTAAAAATACGAAGTCTTTAGTTTGGTATTTGTATTTTTGCTTCAGGGAAAAATTAGTTAAGTTTGCTTCACAGTTAATTATGAGGATGATTTTAGTAACGTTCTCCAGTTGTAGTATATAAAAACAAATTTGATTGGAATTCTGTTAATCAGCAGAGCTGATAGAGCTGAGGATTTTTTTCTTGTTTTGGGCAGTGATGGTTCTGAGGATTAAATAATTGTAAATGAATTGAGTAGTAATATTTTGCTTAAAAAGATTTAGAACTTTTTTCTTTATAATTAGTAGAAAATGTTATGTATCTGACTTATGGTAAGTAATAATAAAACAGATACATTTTTTCCTTTTCCAAAATACAGGTTCTTGTTAAACCATTGGGAGACAAAGGATTCCTTTTTCTTCTCTCTCCTTATCAGATGGTTTCTCCATATGGTAAGTAATCTTCTCTTTACTTTTTAACAGTTTAGAAAATCTTTCAGTTAAAGTACATTGCAGTTGGGTGTGATGGCACATGCTTCTTATCCTAGTATTTCGGAGGCTGAGGCAAGAGGATCCCCATGAATTTGAGGCCAGTGTGGGCTACCTAGTGAGTTCAAGGCCAGCCTGAACTACACAGTGATACTTTGTTTCCAAAAAAAAAAAAAAACAAAACACCCAAAACCCCACAAAAACATTGCTGCTGGGCATGGTGGCCCATGCCTGTAATCCCAGCACTCAGAGGCTAAGACAGGAGGATTGTTGTGACTTCGAGACCAGCCTCTGGGCTACAAAGTGAGATCAAGGCCAGCCTAAACTGCAAAGCAAGACCCTGTCTCAAAAAGACAAAAAAAAAAAAAACCCCAAAACCCAAAAAAACAAAAACACAAAACCGCCCCCCAAGACACATTGCTAACGAATTTGGCTTCTGTTTTTTAGAACATCAGACTGTCAAGTCTCGAATCCTACATGCTTTGTTTCTGTTTCAAGAACCTAGAGGCATAATTACTTGTAAGTTCTTTAAATATCTAAATCTAATTACTTATACCTACATGTTACTGAAAATTGTCAGCTAACTCACTATAAACATTTTATCTTTCCTACATCATGTTTTGGTAAATATTGGGGAGAATCAGAGGTATTAACAATTTAAAACATACATATGACTTGGTATTTATCTTAATTAAGAAAAAGATTTTTGGTGCTATCATTGCTTTTTCACTAACAAAGTTTGATGTAATTGTTATAGTATTATAACTAGCTTTTGAGGGTTTTATATGATTATTTTTCTTTTTTTATGTAGTAGGTAGATACCTTTATTGAAGATCACAGGATGGTAGCAGCAGCAGGAAAAAGGGTGAAGGGAAAAGGGGACTCAAGTGGGAAGGGGAAGAAAACTGGTTATTTTTCTTAGTGCATTTTTCATTCGTATTTTAGTGACTTTAAAGTATCATGTACTAGGTTAAATTATAGGCCATTCAAAATTAATGAGGATTTGTTGGTATTGATTAGAGAAAGTTAGCTGTTCACCCTTTGTAAAGATAAACTTTAATACTGTGTAAGTTCCCACCAAGGAGTTTACTGTTGGACTAAGAATGAATTTCTACTAATGAGTGTGTTTCTCAGTTGTGGCTACTTTGTGCCTGTGTATCTGCTTATGGGGAAGAGAGTTTATATGAAGTTAAAGTTGTTACTTAGGAGAGAAAGGAATGACATTGCTGTCATTTAGAGTGTCTTGCTTGGAGTCTCAGGTTTTTGTTTTTTTTTTTTTGGTCTTTTGCACTTGCTATTTTGCCAGTTACTAGGAAGAGATGAGACAGGGTCTCACTATGCAGTTCAGGCTGGCCTTGAGCTCACTCTGTATCTCAGGCTGGCCTGGAACTCACAATGATCCTCTGCCTCAGCCTCTCCAGTGTTGGGATTACAGGTGTGCGCCACCACACCCAGCAAGTCTGAGGTCTTGACTTCTTTATTTCTCCTTTTGTTTTGCTTACCAATATTTGTGTGTTTTTGTTTTTTTGTTTTTTTGGTTTTTTTTGTACAAGGAATTGAACTCAACCTTGCACTTGCCAGGCAGGCACTGTGCCACTGAGCTAGATCCTCGGCCCTTGTTTACCAATATTTGAATTGCGTAGGTGTAGTATGAAATTAAGATCTTGATTGATTGGGTGTTTTTTTCTTTTAAAAATATGTTTTGCTATTTCATTTGTTTTACTTTTTTATTGGTCTCTTTTTGGCTTCTGAACATGCTATTGCTATAGTACATACTTGTATATATATTAGGGTATAAAATGTTACACATTTTTGGAAGTATGTATATCTGTATTTGATGAGTTTCTTGATCGTTATTTTTGTTGTTTATTTACAGCACAAAAAGTTTCCACCAATACAGCACTACAGGAGAGGCATGAGAGTGTGCCGGATATGTTAAGAATAGCTCAGTTCTTACAGTTTGCTTTGATTCATTGTCGAAAGGAATGCAAAAGTATAAACACGATAAATTTTCATTCTGTTGTTGAAAAGTATGTAACTGAATTTTTTAAACGAGGTTTTGGTTCAGGTAAACGAGAATTTATGTTTTCATATGATTCACGTTTAGATGATAAAAAATTCTTATACTCAGCACCAAAACATAAGTCCCATATTGATGATTGTTTGCGTACCTATATTTTTCGACCTGAAATGTATCAACTACCTGTTTGTAAACTAAAAGAGCTATTTGAAGAAAATAAAAAACTTCAACAGTTCAGTCCACTTTCAGATTACGATGGTCAAGAAGAAGAAATGAATGGTACAAAAATGAAATTTGGAAAACGAAATAACACAAAGCGTGAAACTGTTACACCTGGAAAGCAAAAGTCATGTCATTCTTTGGATTATGATAAGGATAGAGTCAAAGAATTGATTGATTTAATTCAGTCTAGGAAAAAAAATGTTGGCAGGGACTCAGACACAGAAGATACAAGAAGCAAAACTGTCTTGAAGAGGAAGCTTGAAGACCTACCTGAAAATATGAGAAAGCTCGCCAAAACCAGTAATTTATCTGAAAATTACCATCTATATGAAGGTAAATTAGTAGGTTTCTTTTTGTTGTTTTGTTTTTTTTTTTGTTTTGTTTTTCTCCGGTACCGGGAACCGAACTCACGACCTTGTGCTTGCCAGGTAGGCGCTTTTGCCGCTGAGCTAAATCCCCAGCCCCAGTAGGTTTCTTTTATAAAAATATCCAAAAATACAGGAATTCATTCTTTCCTATAGCACAGAGGTGTGCAAATTAAAGCTTAAGGGCAAATCCAGATTGTCCCTATCTTTTTGTAAAGAAAGCTGTGTTAGAAAACAGCCATGCCTAGGGCTGGGGAGATAGCTCAGTGGTGCAAGCACCTGCCTGGCAAGCATGAAGTGCTGAATTTAATCCCCAATACAAAAAAAAAAAAAAATACAGCCATGCCTGTTCATGTGTGTGCGCGTAGCTGCTTTTACACTATAAAGGCAACTGTAAAGAGTTGGGATAGAGACTATATCTGTGGCCCACAAAGTCTAAGATACTTACTGTCTGGTCCTATACAGGACGTATTTTCTACTCCTGCCGTAGTATGTTAAATTTCTGAATAGTTTGACTTAGGCTAATAAAATAAAGTATACCCAACTATTTTCCTTCTCATCAGAGCTCCTATCCTTTTAGATTCCTTTAATTTCATAATTGGAGAAATATAACAATACTAGATTTTTTTAGGATGTTACTTAATGGAAGAAATCTTTTGACCTTTAATATTTCTTAGATGAATATATGTAATTTTCCACCCTAGGAATCTAGGAATGGCTTCTTTTTTTTTTTTTGCTTTGCTTTCTGTTTTGGTTGACAGAAAAGACAAAAATGGAGACTCTTAAGTGTATTTGTTTAAATATTTCAAGTAAGTTAAACATTTTTATCACTTAAATTTTTAAAATATTCACACATTCCTAAATCCATCAGCATGAAATACATTGTTTTTGCATTCAGGAGCCTTTGATATGACGGTTCACATTTTGTACCATTGTTTTCAAGTATGGCAAGTCTATGAGTATTCCTCTGTTTCTTACTGAGGAGTTTTCTTGTTTGTTTGTTTGTTTGTTTTTAAAGACAGGGTCTTGCTAAGCAGTCTAGGCTAGCCTTGAACTCACTATTGGACCCCAAGCTGGTCTTGAATTCCATGGCATCCTCCTACCTCAGCTTCCTGAGTCCTGGGATCATATGCATGCACTATCATGCCCAGCTTTCTTGTCTTTTCAGATTTATTTTCTCTGTGAGTAGGTTGGACAGATCAATGTCCTTACTGCACTTTTATGCTCCCAGCAATCTATATTTGTGTCATGACTTCTGTCTTTTATCCTTGTATTAATTCAGTATCTTAGTTATTAGCCATGTGTTGTTATTTAAGCTTAAGTGAATTAAAATAAAAATACATTTCACCTACTGTACAACCTATATTGAACAGTACAAAGAAAGTTACGGTTTTGACAGCTGTAACTGCAGTAGTACCTCTGAGGATTTTTTCCCTGTGTTTCTTTTTCTTTCCAGTGTTACTTTCCTTGTCCATATTCTCATCTCCTTCGTGGCTTTCTTGACTTACTAATTTCTTCGATTCACTCCAGTATCATGTTCTTGTCAACACCGCTTTGTTAACTTGTGATAAATTTCACCTTCTGTACTTGGCATTCTGTTACAGACTGGCTTCATCCAGCTGTTTTTCCTATTCTTTTGTATACTGTAGTTAATATTCATCTCCCTCCCTAGACTATGTTGCGGTCAGTCTTTTCCTTCCTTTTCTCTTTTCCTGAAGCATCTTGTACTTCTCTTAGTTTTTGTATGTCTGCAGGTCAGAGACCCTTCCTCAGCTTTCTGGTTGTTCTATTCATTGTCTCCATCTCCTTCAACTTATGTCGGACCTGTGATCTGTTTTGAGCCAGATACATGCTATCTTAAATTGTTGACCTGTGTCTTGATAGTTTTAAGTGCTAAGTTCTGGGTGCTTTATTATAAGAACTTCTTCGGTTCTTGAATAGTAGGCTTTTTTCCCTTCTTCTTGGTTTTTGAAATAGAGACTTGTTTTATGTAGTTAAGGCCGGCCTTGAGCTCACTGTGTACTTGAGGCTGGCCTCCAACTTGGGGCAATCCTCTTGCGTCAGCCTTCTGAGTGCTAGGATTACAGGTGCGCACCACCATACCTGGCAAGTATTAGGCCATTATTACCCTTATTTTGCAGCTAAGAAAGCCATCTTTGGTTTGTTG